TATATATATTATGTAGACTGATGAATACATTGTCTGTTTCTAAATTGTATAGTCTTATAACAGCGCTTCAATACGAAACGTAAGGCTGTTGATTAAATCTTAAATCACCATATTTATCAAGCTTTGAGAATATAAAACTGACCTACCTGCATATATAACTATACTGGCGCACACAATGGAGGCTATACAAGTTGAAACGGCAAATGTTGCAATCAGATATGGGTATTTATTACGTTTCAAATGCTGACCAGGTTGAGCTGTCAGTGTAGCCTGTAATTCTTGGTTACTAGATGCATCGGTGCCACAAACATTTACAGAAGTTGTACCCAATGTGGCATCTTCCTGATAATAAAGCAGAATCCACGAACTTTTTCTTCTTGTAAGAATTGATTTTTCCCCTTATCTCTTGGCCTGCCAGGAGACCTATTCTAGCCATAAAACCTACTGTTGTACTGTTATCCTCCAGTTGACACTCATTCTAAGTAGTTTTTGCGGGTTTTCAATGTATTTTAACTCTTTTTTTTTTCATATGTAATGTACATTTTGAACGCTTTTTGTTCATTATAAATGTTTATTGTTATTTTAGCTGGTGTTTCTTCAAAGTATTATTGGTAATTATGAAATATTTTAAAAATCAAAGTAGGCTTATATAATGCCAATATTTTTTGCAGTATTAGCTTGCTGCTATTCTCGTATTGTATGTATAATTATTTATATTTAACCTCGATATTCTGTATACATTACGATTCTACATGTCCATTTTTAATGCATGTCTTTTTATATTTTTGTAAGGGTCAAGGACAGTGATTTAATTTTTGGAGTGTCTCTGTCTCGTGTTTGAATTTAACCAAACAGTATAGAACTGCAAAAGGTCCAACTCTCGTGGTTTCGTTGGAACGCAATTCATATTTAAACAAAATAAAGTACTGTCACGAGGGGGCGTGTCCTTAAAAGACGTTTCGAGCGAACTCTATTGAACGCCAGTTAGGCCTATCTCGTGGCAATACTTTTTTAATGTTCCATTACGTGCATATAAAATATCAGGGCAGTCGGTCCTCTTGCAAATCTATACTCTTTTAACTGATCTTTAAACTGTTTCGGTATCAATGATTTATGAATTATGATATATTAAGGCAAAAAATTAAATGAAATGGATAGCCAGAATACACAGTTATATTGATCGTCGGTGTATGTATAAAATAGTATTAATAGCAATATTACAGTATAGTCCTAATTAATAATGATAATTTTAGTGACATTAATTATATAAATAATGATAATAATGATTGGCGTAATAAGGTATAATAATTATATAAATATATTAATATTTTGATCCTGACCCTGATGCTGACAATGATGATTTTTCTTAGGCCTATTGCATCTAACAGTGTAAAACAAAGTGGTTTACAACGAAGATAACGGACAGAAACATTAAGATTAGATATAGGCCTAGTTAAAACAAGCTCACAATTAAAATGTGAAACATTTATAAAGAAAGTGTAATTCCTGTTTTGCTCTCCTTGATTTAATAGGTAACGGACAAGGCCAACTAGCTGCTGGGCTGATATATTAACAAATAATTTTGTAAGTTCGTTCAAGTGATTGGGAAGAAGAAAGTAAATTATAAATTACTGAGAAAAAATAAAGGGAAGGCTGAATAAGCGAATGATAAGTATTATGATCATTAGACCTATAATAATAATAATTACAAAAGACATCTACCTTGTTGCTATTTTTGTGACATGTCTCAATTGTATTTCCAAAATTATCAATACCCTTTAGCGAGATCCCTTCGGCCATCTTCGATTCGTAGTTTCAACCTGTAAACTATACCGTAAATATTTCAATGAGCGCCTCTTTGATGAAGTGCCGCACCAAACGTTTTATTTTATTAAACGCCGCTCTCGAATAGCCCAAGTGCCTCATCAGATTATTGATACATGTTAATGTGTTTCAGTGTTTCGTCTCAGCGGAATATTATTTCTATGGATTAAATTAAACACATACTAACGGCGCAACAAGTGAGATTGCCTTTCAATACAATTATGCATCGTGCCATTTTTGCACCACACTATAAGCGCCAATCTCGAATAAGCACCGTTCACAAAGCGCCACACTGATCGAACAATTATCGATCACACTACTAAATCTTTCGATATGCCGTATGTATCGATTATTTGACCTTTAGATTAATTTAACGAATTCTTACTATTTCTGAGCAACAACTATCAATAACATCATCATCATCATCATCATCAGCATCGCAATTATTCAATCCTCTCACTGCAAGCCGAAAGCCTCTTTAACTGACATCAACGATTTTTGTCTCTTCCCTTTTCATCCATCCTTGTAAAGGTACTATTTCGTCTCTCCACCGGACCTATTTTGATTGCCATGACGCTTTTGCCTCACATAAAGAAATCAATAACTATACTCACAAATAAGTTGTTAACTGATTTACAACTCGTGCTCCATTAAGATGTGGTTTCTATCGACATTTAAACAATATATTCATGAATATTCCTCTTTGTTAAATCGAAATATAATATTGAAGTATTCATACCCAATCAGATTCTTTGTCGCGTAAAAATGTGATCCCAATTGGGTGTTATTTCTGGATTACCGATAAAAGTTAATTCACTTTAATGTTTGAAAATTACATATTGAAAGTAACATCTGTTTTCTATTTTGTTCAAACACGTTTAAACGTTAAAACATGCATGTCAAAGGGGGTTTTCAGCATTTTTATATATCCAAAATTATTTTCAATGTTCAAAAAATTGAGTCTGAGATCATTTATGTACAATCTTTCCCGTTCTAAGGGTACTTTCGCATGTAAACTATGTATCTCTTGTGTAAATTCAAGGCTTAAAGATTTGTTTGCGGAAGCTCTACAAAGACAAATACAAACGTCTTACAATATTAGGCCTACGACAGTTATACCATCAGACCAAACAGCATGTTATCCTCTATAATGTTTTAAATTAAATTTATTGATATATATACCTGTCTCTTATACACATCTAAAGTACTATTTTTGAGGAAAATAGTACTTTCTATTGCCCCGCTTTTTTAAACAATGATAACTAGAATCTATGTATGAGGTATTAGGCCTATAATATTTTGTATTTTCAGACTAACAGTAAATGTATTAAACTCAAGAATCTATACTATCATTCACTTGTTTTATTATTTAATTGATTCAAATACAAGGCCCACACAAAAACTGAACCCGTAAAACACGAATCCGTATGAGCTTGAATAGGCCTATCATGCTAGACGGTAGGTGATGCGACAGCGTTATGCTGTCGTTTCGGTTTTAAACATAGATTTAAAAATGGACTTTGTTGTATTGTTGTGTATTTTCTTTTTTTATGCAATAACACATTATTGGTAAGAAAAAAAAAGGAAAAACAAAAATTTCCTACCGACCTTCACGCTTTTTTTTTGGTGGGGGGGGGGGGGGGGGGGGAGGAGGGG